GCAGCCCCCCAGCCGCCAGCCCGCGGAACTTACTCGGCGCGCGCTCCTCTCGGCTCCCAGCCGGGCGAGGTCTTAACACCGAGATGCGTTTCCTAAAATCCTCCCGGGGACTCTGATGGGCCGGAAGCGGCACGGCCCGGGTTGGGCAGATGAGGAACCGGGCAGAGGTTCTCCCACTAAGGATCAGGGGGCCGCGGACCCCGCGCTGCCGGAGGGCGGCACGGCCCAGTTTCCCCACCTGTCGCGGCACCGCGGTCTCCCTAGATCCAAGCTGCGGAGACGCACCGTTCGGCCGGCGCAGAGCAGGCCCCTCCACGTCCATCGTTCCATCCGTCCGTCCGTCGGTCCGTAGGCGGTAGTGCAGACGCGTCCAGGTCAGACCCGGGTGCCAGGTGCCATCTCGAAGGCCCCGGGCGAAACAATAATTCGCGGCAGGTGCGGCCGCGGCGGATGAAAGTGCGCACGGAACGGAGTTGGCTGCCACGCGGCCCCACGGCGCTGGGCACACACTAGGTGTTCAGCTCTTGGTGGAATGAATGGATCTTGAGGTCCGGGACAAATTCGTTATAGCCACCCATCCAAACCATCCTTCTGTTTCCTCTTGGCCCCGCCATCCATCCTCGTGCCCCTGTGGCTCCCAGCGCCCAGGGCAGTCCTCCCCAGTCCCGCCTCTGGGCCTCCTCCCTCCACACCCTCTGCCTCGTCCGTCTCAGCACCGCAGCAGCGACCCTCTCCGAGCTGCGTCCCTCCGACAGGCGTCCGCACAAAGCCGGAGGGCGCTTCCTAAAGGCGCATCGGGCTGGGTCGGCCCAGCGCTTAAAAACTTCCCCAACTCTCCATTCCTCTCGGAACCCAGCCCAAACGCTGCTGCCTGGGGCACAGGGAAAAAAACAAGGGACAACTTTATATTTGACTTTTTATCAGAAGCAATGGAAGCCAGAAGGCAGAGGAATTGGAAGATAACATCATCTTGGAAGTTTATACCCAGTGAAAATTTCTTCCAAAAACTAGATATCCAGTGAAAATATCTCGCCAGAACGAAGGGAAATAACATTTACAAAAACTAAGATTTTTATCATTAGCAGATTCTCCTTAAAGGACATTCCACGGAGGTACTTCAGGCGGGAGGAAGCCCATCACAGACCGAGGTCTAATGCAACAGGGAATGGAGAGCATTGAAAATACAAAACAATAACCTGGTCTTCTGGATCGAAATAGAGCTCAACTACACAACAACAATGGTGTAGAACTAGGGTGACTGGAGTTAGTGTTCTGAGCTCCTTATTCAAGAGAGAGAAAGGGAAGCTAGACAACAAATACACTTAAACTTTGATGAGTTAATAATGCAACTGTCATTACAGGGTAAACATTAAAAGAATGAAAGTGTGGTATATAATATTTATCCGAATTATGAGAGGGCAAAAATTGAATGAGAAAACCCAATCAGTCCTAAAGTAAGCAAGGATGGAGAGAAAAATAAATATAAAATCGATGGGATAGATAGATGACAGATATACTATAATTCAACAAATCCAACTGAACTCAATGTTGTAGTTAAAATACTAAGATTCTCACCTGGATAAAATCCAACTAACTGTGTGCAATTTGCAAGAGACACTCACAGAAGCCACTTCCGAAACATGAGGGTACTGAAAGAGTGACCGTAAACGGATGGGAAAAGGGCTTGCAAGGACTGAGAACAGAAGGCTAATGCAGTTTGTTAATGTCAGAAAAAACCATCACAGAAATAAAGACGGTCACTTCAGAATGAAAATGGTCCAATTCACAAGAAAGAAAGAACGATTTCAAATCTGCATGCAAATAGTCTTAGAATATAAGAAACACAAAGAAGAGAACTACACAGAAAAATAGACAAATCCACAGTTATAGCGGGAGATTTTAAAACACATTGCTCTGTAATTGGTAGAATGAGCAGATATATATTCAAAGGATATGATTAAGAAACTTGTCTAATGGACTTTTCTAGAACATCCTGGCTTCAGCTGCAGAATACTCCCCTTCACAAGATGTGTGGAATATTTACAAAACGAGTGAATCTCAAGAAATTTCAAGTCTGAAATCAGATAGTGTATATATATATTTACCACAACACAAATAAGCCAGAGCTAACTTCAAAAGCCACATATGTTTGGGAATTAAGAAGTACATTTAAAATAACTGATGGATTAAAAAATCATAATGGAAATTATAAAATATTTGTAACTGAATGGGAGTGAAAATATTACATATTAAAATAATGTGGCATACAGCTAAAGCAAGACTTAAAGGGAAGTTTGTGGCTTGCAATAAACTTAGAAAAAATAAAAGGCTGAAAGTAA